CCCCGCCCCGCCCCCAGCGCCCCCCGTCACCGGCCCCAGGTGAGAGAGCCCACCTGGCGCCGCGCCCCGGGCCCGCAGAGACGGGGGATGGGAGGACGGACGCGCTCGGAGTCTGCGGAAAAACCGTGTCGTCGCCGCCCTCCCGCCCCGAGGCTGGGTCCGGACGCAAGTGTCTCTCCCGAAGCGAGAGAAATGCATGTCTCATGGTTGCGGGGACCCTCCTGCCTCGCCGAGAGAGTCCGGGGGGGGGAGCGGGAAATGGGCTCCCTGTTTCTAAACGAGAGATGGGCTGTCACGGGCGAGGTGCACAGCGTGGGCCTCAGTGGGGGGTTGACAAAATGCTCCTGATATTTGCGGGCACAAAAATCCAGACTCTCTGGGCAGTGGGGCAGGCAGAGCCGTGGCAGGAAGAGGAAGCTGCTTTCCTAGGTGCGTACATGCCAGAACCTCTGTCAGAGAGGATGGGAACCCCCAGTGTTAGGCCCCAAAGCTCTGTCCGGCTTATTCTTTTTTAAAGTTTAACCTCAATTCCTGCAGCGAAAGTGCAGTGATCAAAGCGGTGGGTGGTATCAGTCTAAGGAAGGAGACATACAGCAAATGACCCAAGTGAGATTTTAAGTGTTTTTGAGAGTCTCCAACACTGGACCAAGTCAAGCAAAACAAAATGTAATTTGCAATGAGTGTCAAGACCTGCATGTGAAGTTTCCAAAAACTCAGCCATGCATGTAGAACATCAGGTGACAGCGACCTTGGCTTTGCGGTGAACACCAACATGCTGGGGAGCTGGAGAGGTATTGGGAGGATGGCAGCTGTGATGTTAGTGAGCATTAGCAGAGGAAGCCCCTGCCACAGTGAGCCTCTCGGAGCTCAATTTCTGTCAAATGAACAGAGCGATGAGATGATCTGGTGATCTTTAACAGCTCTGCCAGCCCCGTCAAATCTCACGATTCTATTTACTGAGGCTGCAGGGCCCAGTGTGGTGTGCCGAGACCTGGACTGATGATGATGATGATGATGATAAATATCTCACGGGATTTTTGTACAGATGTCAAATGCCTAGCAGGTCTCAGTACTTAATATCGGTTGTTGTTGTTATCACTGCAAGCAGAACCAGTGCTGTACTGGTACTTACAACTGGTTCGGGGGTGTGGGAATGGGTGTCTGATTTGTATCACTTGTTGATTTCTGTGCCATAAATATTCCCACCATGGCTGATTTCAAGCTACCAATGTGGTGGTGTCCCTGATCACTGGGGTTAGGAAGAGAAGTGCACAGTCAGCTCTACAAGCCCGTTCGACCCAGCTCCAGCACGTCACTGGCAAGACTTGGAACCAGGATCAATGAGGCTCAGAGGAGGAGGGGCCTGAGCTGGACCAGTGAGTCAGAGGAGGAAGAACCATGGACTGGGGTGGAGGAGAGACCCCAGCAGGCCCCAGCCACGCCCCATAGACACTTAATTGTGTGCCCCAGCTGCCCCTCCTGGCCTCATGCCCATAAGCACACCTAAGTGTATGTGTGCATGGAGAAGGTGGGCAATGGAGACAGAGGAACACATTCTCTCAAGGTGACACATGTTCAACATTTCATAAAAGTTACATGTGGATGTCTGTTGGGTAAGGTTGTGATGCAAAGAAGTTGGAAAAAGTACCAAAGATTTGGTGGAGACATCAGTGGTTGGAGAGTGAAAAACACATAGAAAGAGTCCAGATGGGTGTCCAAGCCCTCACCAGCCAATGGCATGGACTCCACCCTTGGGCTCCTTCCTCCTGATGTTAGAAGAGTGCCAGTCTCTGCCTGCTGGGGTACCCCCTGGCTTGCCCATGGAGGCTTCAGAGTTCTACTTCTGCCTTCTTGGTCATCAGACTTCAGAGAACTGCCCAAGTGACAGTTCCTTGTTTCTGATAACAATAATCCCAACAGCAGCTCCCGTGTGACAATTGTGCCTGCGTGTGTGTGTGTGTGCACGCCTGCCCGTGGTCCACTGAACCCTCAAGCACCCTGGGAGGCTGGGGCAATCATTATCCTCATTGCACAGATAAGGAACTGAGGCTGGGAGAACTTAAGTAGCTGATGCAGGCAGGCCAGCTGTAGTAGTGGAGGCAGGAGGTGAGCCCAGCCCCAGTAGAACTGTCACTACTGGCTATGGCTCATGCTTGGCCATGGCTGGCTCAGGGCTGCCCAGGCACAGCCTGACTCACAGCAGTCTTTGGATTATGCATTCTTACAGAGCATCATGTACCTTGTAAGTGCCAACCCATGAGGGCCTCAAGGTCTGAAGGGGGAGATGGCAGTGAAAACAGATCATCCCTGCAATTTGTTATTGTGGGATTCCTGAAGAAGGACCAGAGGAGTGACCCTGGGGATTTACAGCCTTGTGCCAAAAACAGTTTGTTGCTCTGCCCACCAACCCCTCTCCCCTCTGCCTGCAATCTCCTCCAGGGCAGGCCCGAGTTTTGCTTTTCTCTGTGTCTCCAGAGCCTAGCCCAGTGCCCAGCACATAGTAGGTGCTCAGGAAACGTGTGGTTGCCAGCTTATAACCTTGGTCTGTGGCCTTTTCATGGGACTGTAGAGACGTACAGTGTCATATGAATACAATGCATGCTCACAGTAGCACTCCTCCTATGCTCAGACACGTGCTCCATTGAGCCACACACACTACAGCACAAACCCAGGCATTCAGTGACACCCAGTCCCCCCCTCACACCTCCCCCATGGATGTCTAAATTCCTAGGCAGACCTGCAGCTGCTCCTGGATTCACACGTTCGCACAGGTATGCAAGAGAAACATTCTTAGACAGCCACATGCAGCTACCTGTCTCCATTAACCAGCCCAAGGCAGCTACCGCTCAGGGATGGAGTCCTCCCCTCCCCTTGCGCACATGCACACGTGCATGCACACACACACGTGCACACATTTTGGAGGTCACAAACATGGAGCTGAGAACCTTGTGATGGCTGCATCAAATCCAGCTCCAGGTGTCTCCAGACATCTCCTTCTTCCTCCCCCACCTGCCTCCAGGCCAGGTCACCCTGCTTGAAGCAAACCATCAGGAACCATCCATCTTTGTCTGGCCCCAGATCCCCCAAGCCTGCAAACCCCAGCCAGAGCAGCACTCAGAAAATACTCTGAGCTCACCGCCAGGCCATGAGCTAGCAGAAATGCAGCATTCTGGGCTGGCGGTCTCCCTCTAGTCTCCCACATGGCTGCACTGGAAATGGACTCTGGACCCAACAGGAAGTGGGGCGGGCAATGCCCCAGCAGCTCCGAGGGAAGGCACCAGTGCCCATGCAGACCTGGGCATGGCTGCCCAGGAGGGCTGATCCTTGGAGGACTGGATGGGACCTGTGTGGGTTTGCTCACGTGTCCCTTTCCCTGTCCCCCCCCCCAACACACAGGGGACTCACAGCTGTGCCTAAAAGCAACAAAAAAAGAGGGCAGAGAAAGACACAAAATGTTCACAGTGGGTGCCTTGGAGGTTGGAGTGTGGGTAAAAAAGTGTTTTTATCCTCTGTATTTTCCAAGCATGTTTGACATTTACAATGAAAAAAATTACTTAAAATGGGGAGAAGACAAATACGTAAGAATAAATCTCTAATGGTAGAACTTTTTAAGCACTGGCAGGAAAGAAAGATATTTGGGAGGGGGCAGGGGAAGTGGCCCTGGGGAACATCCTCCCATGTCATCCATTCATCTATTCTTCTGTAGGATGGGCCCCTGTCCCCTCTTGGTGGCTTATTCCAGAGTTGGCAGAACTCACCACTACCCATGGCAATTCCAATCCCAGGCCTTCCTCCCTCTGTTCCTTGCTCCCTGTCTCTTCTTCCTCACTCCAGAACAACACTGAGTTGTGTTGTGTGGACCTATCTTGTCCCTTGCCCGCCTGAGGCCCATCGCAACCCTGGATCCGGCAGTATTGCTGAGCTTGGCCAAAGCCAACAGGTTTCCTCCTGGAAGCCTTCCTCAGCTAACCACTCCTGCCTCTGCTCACTTGCCATCTCGGCACTAGAAACTTTATTGGCACAACTTTATTTTGTGTCTGTGACTATGTTAATGCATATTGTCCTTGAGTTTTGGGGGTGTTGGCACCCCTGCTATGTGTAGATTGCAGATTCCTCAAGAACTGGGATCTTGTCCCCTGTTTCTTTTATATCCCCCACATCTCCTCTCATAGTGGTACTGAGCTTCAGCCCACAGTAAAGTGATTGTTAAATATTTGAATTAATGAATGAATAAATGAATAAACAAACACTGGATCCTGGACAGATCAGACATGACTTACGGAGGGCTACAAGTCCTGCCCTTGATTTTATAATCTTTATGAGAGACAAGATGTTGGGCCCTTTATGCATGGTTGGAGCTGGGGGGAGTGTTCTGAGCAGTCCAGTTCTGTCTAGTAATCATAAACAGGTAGGTAGGTAGGTAGCGACCTGGAGGGAAAATCCCAGTTTCAAATAACCTGCTCCATTGTCCCCATAAGTCTACTCATGTCAGGTGACATCTATGTCCATGCTCTGCCTGGGCACTGGGCTCACCATGAATATACCCCCACCCCACCCCCAGTTACCACTTCCAGAAGCATTAGAACACAGTGAGATGCCTGGGCAGGCAGCATGGAGCCGCAGGTGTTCTGTTTTGACCATTGTGAAGTCCCCAATAAGCCCTTCCCAGGGGCAAAGGACTCACAAAAAACTACTTTGCGGCATTTTACAACAGAAAGGTGTTCCACACAGGGCACAGTAACTAATACTGCTCAAAAGAAAGAGAAAAATGAAGGAAGGAAGGCAAGAAAAACAACTTTCTTAGGAAAGAGAAATAAAAAACAATGCCAGAATTTACTATAAATAACATCCTAAAGATTCGACTCTGAACAGAGGCATTCTCAGCATCTTCTTTTACTTGGTTTTCATCTGAGTCACTTTGTGCTCTCTGAAAAAGAAGGTTAAGAGGAAAAGCATCCCGTCTTGACACTTAGGAGGAGTGTTATCCCTTGCAGTTTTAGGAGACGGCCACAATAGACCATTTCCTCCAGGGCACGTTATAACTGCAGGCACAAATACGTTTGCAGGAAGTGCTCGCTATCCAAGTTCTGACCGGTGGACCACAGCATGTTTTCCTGAACTTAGTGTGAGACTCCAGCAGCCCAGCCAGATGTCTTTTGGCTTATCACTGGGAAATAGTAAGCTCAGCCTTTAAAAAAAAAAAAAGTGACTAACTATTTTACTGCAAAATTTCCATTTCACATAGAGTATGACTATATAATACTCAATTTAACATACTTTGAGCATCTGGTGCTAAGCCCTGGGAATAAGAGATGATTAAGTCAGTTCCTGTCCTTGAAGAGCACACAGTTGGTTGGGAAAGATGTATAAATAAACACACGTAACATTGTGACGTTTCTATGTAGGTTTAACCTAGTTATTGAGTACTTACTTTGTGTCAGGCATTGTTCCAAGTTCTATAGAAATATTAACTCATTTAATTCTCACAAAATTTTACAGGTGAGGAAACCGAGGCACAGAGAGGTTAAAAGGAACTGGCCAGCTAGGAAGCTTGGAACTGGGATTAGAACCCAGGGAACTGGCACAAAGGCCACGTGTTTAATCACTGTGCTGCAGTAAGGGGAAGCATGTACTGGGTAAGATGGACACCCAGGCAAGAGGACAAGCCACTCATTGTTCCAGGGAACGTAAGGCCAGGACAAGACTGAGATGCGGCAATATTTGAGCTGCATCATGCAAGGCAATTTCTTTCAGTTCTTCTTTCCTCACTTTACCAAATGGCTCAGTCCATCCTAACTTGCCACAGAATTGTTTGAAAGGGAACCAGCTTTTCCCACTGGTTGTCACTATATTTCTATAATTCTAAGGGATGACCCTACAAAGCAAGCCTTTGCTAAATTGAGTTCAACTCTGGAGTGAAAGGGAGGTTGGAAGGGTGTTGGGGACTTTGGAATGGGGAATGGATCTTGAAATTTGTCAAGCCCTTCCTGTTTGTGTTATTGACTCTGGAATCTCATTTTCACCCTCAGCTCGATGTTAAAGTCTACCCTAGTCTCTCCTTCTCTGGACTGGGCACCAGAATGTGCCCACCTTCCACCTCCTGATGAGCATTCATCTAGGACCTGCTGCATGTCTGCAATAGGGGTCACCGACTGCAAAAGAACGGGACACCTGAGGTTGCGTGGAGGGAACCTCGGGTCCTAACTCAACGTCGTCACTGGCTTCCTTTGTGATATCGGTTTGCTCTTTGATAAATGTCTCACACTCCCTGTCTATCTTCCTCACAGAACAGCGATGAGAAACCAATGTGGACACCTTCCAGGGTGATTCAGAAGAGGCACACTGCCTGCCCGGATGATTCCCCAAACCCGATCATTCCACAACTGCGTTTTGAGCATCACTCACCGTGCCATGTAGGATCCAGAAATTATTTCTACCTTTGCATAAAAGGACTTTGAATAAAAGTTGAAAGCAAACTGTAATCCTGACTGTGGGCGGAGGCGCTAACTCTCCCTGGTGGGCGGTGGAAGCAGCAGCCCCTGCCCTGGGAAAGACGATGGGGCGTGCGGGGCGGCATCCCTACCTCATCTGTGGCTGGAAGTCTCTCCCGCCCAACAACGCCTCTCTTCCTTGCACAACCCAGTTTGCGCATGAGGAAACTGAGGCACGGAGAAGCGAAGTGACTTGCTCGAGAACCTAGACTCCAGGAACTTCCCAGCCAGCTAATCCCAGAACGTGAGGTGGGAAGGGGAGGTGGGAGAAGGCAAGTCGCCGGAGCGGCCTGGAAGGGTGGGAGAAGGGACGACCTCCCCGTCTGACCCCGGGGCCAGGCAGCCCCAGCCAAGGGCGGCGACGCGGCCAGCCTTCTGCAGGAGCGCCCCCTGCTGGTCAGCGGTGCCGCTGCTTGCGGCGGCCGAGGCCGGATGGGGTTATTTTCTGGGGAACCAGAGACACACCCCACCCAGGGCAGAGCAGGAGGGGCCCCGAGGGGTCGCCCCAACCCCTTCACTTCGCGCACGGCAAACGCAAAGCTCAGAGGAGGAAATGACTTGCTCAAGGGCTCTCGGCGAGCCAGCGGGATGCGGGTCTTCTAGTCCGCCTGCCTCACGCTGCACAGCCCCCCGACCCCAAGGAACCTCCCTCCCCGCCCTGCTCCCGGCCAGCCCCTACCCGCCCCTCAAGCCCCACTTCCTCAAGGAACCCTCTGGCCTTTCAGCCCCAGAGCGCCCCCTCCTCGGAAGCCCTATTGCTTCCAGCCCTCCCCCTCAGCAATGCTGGACGTGGCTTCGTCTGCCTATTGGCACGATCTTGCGGACTAGGGAGGAGCCTCTTTCTTTTGGATTCTCTGCCACCCACACACCCAGCCCCTCCCCACGCAGAGGTGCCTGGTACAGGGCTGAACTCTCACTTGGTGATGAATATTGATCCATGACTTTTTCTTCTTCCCACGGTGAAGCCAGCCGCCCAGCAGAGTGTCTCTGGCCCTGGACAGCCAAGATACCTATGCTGGCTTTGCCGCTTTCCTTCCTAGCTGGGTGACCTTAGGTAAGTCACTTTGCATCGCTCAGAGCCTCCATTTCCCCAACTGTAAAATAGGGATAAAGCTAATCTTTGGGCTGGTTGATCATGTGTGTAGTGTGCCCGGTACATAGTAGGTGCCTAATAAATGTCAAATTGGGTTAGTCAGACTTCCAGGGAGCCTTAGGCTCGTCTCTCGGACCTGAGTCCTCTTCTATTTGGCGCCCTCTTTCCTGGGCGTGAGGCTTCCAACCCTAACCCCACCTCCTGTTGTAAGCAGCATCAGGGAAGGAGTCACACAGTGATTCTGTGTGGACCCCAGGAAAGGAGGATGCTGTTAGAAAACAGAAAAGGCTGAACAACTGGGTGATGAAGCCACGCTGCCATCTAACGCTCCCACGAAGGTGACTCCCAGGTACCTGGGTCTGCCTCTCTCCCTCCCCTCTTCATGTTGGCTTCCTCCCCCATGCACTCTTTCTACACACATCTTTCTGCCTCCACTTCTCCACTCCTAGCTCCCGCTTCTTAGAACTTACAGCCTGCAGGTGGCCCATCGTGGCTGCTGTGACATCCTCACTGTGCCATGGCCATTCAGCTGGGGGGCCCAGTGACATCTCCCATATAACCCAATGTAAGTGTCTGAGAAAAAAGGGGACCACACTGGTGTTGCCTGGAGCTGCCAGAGGCTGTTAGCCAGCTGTGGACTGGCTGCTTACGGGTCAGCTATGCACACCTGGTCCAACTGGGTGTGGCCATGGGGACAGGGCCTGTGCTGTGAAGCACGGCCACAAACGTATTTGCATGTCTAATAGAATAAGCAGTCAGTAAACATTGTCGTAAATAATAATAATATTCGAAACTCATGGAAATTCATTGGAAATTTTTTAGAAAAGGAAACAACCTCTTGTCAACTGTTTTATTTGGTGAATAATCCCGTCTATCTGCACAGACCTCCATCCCAAGTTATGTTTTGTAAACTCGGATTTTTATGCACTGCATCTGCTTGAAACTTGACATATTCATATGCTTGTTACAGCAAATACAGCTCCAGGAATCAGTCTCATGGTCCCCAAAGCTCAATTGATGGTTTTGGCAGAAAGGCTTTCTCCTTTCCCCAAACAATGTGTGATTTTATATATATACAGTATCAATTCACATCTATCTATCTGCCTATCTAATCTGTGGTTTAAAAAAAAAAAAGGCAGCTCTTGCTCCATCGGCTCCCACTGGGCTCTTACCCTTTCTTCCTTCCCTTCCCACCTCACCCCCAATTAGGAGGTCCTGCTCCAGCAGGCATAGCAAGAGCCTGAATCTTCGGCCAGCTGTCTCTGAGGAAGCAGCAGGACCAGTGATCAGTGAAGGCTTTTGACCCTGTGCCCTTCTGATGTCCTCTGGGAGAAGCGGAGAGGGGGCAGACAATTCGAAATGTTCCTGCACCCTCTCAGCACAGGAGGATGTAGCTGTGGCCTGGAGTTGCCCCAACACCTGCTCGCTCCCTCGGGTGGAGGAAGAAGTGATGGACGTATGGAAAAGGCTGGCAGGGCACTGCCCACCCGTGTGCCCCTCTGAGTGATTTAGAAACAGCTTCCTCCTCCTCCAGTCACTTTACTTTCAGCTGTTAGAAAACAGCCACTGCAAATAGGCCTGTGACATGAATGGTGCCCTCCTACGTGGTGTGCCCTTTTGCAGTGCACAGCATGCATAGTTGTGTGTCAGCCCTAAAGGTGGATACCAGGTTCATCCTCTGCCCAGTGAGTGGGAAACTGAGTCTCGCTGACCATTAGCTATCCCCCCAAACCTTCCCAGCCTCAGCCCTTTGGAGTCAGCACAGACTCCCTGACTTTGAATTGAGGTGGATCTGGGTTTCCATCCCAGCTCTAGCACTTCCCAGGACTGTGACATCTGCCAGGTCACACGGCCTCCTTGGGCCACACATCCCTTATTTATGAAGCAAAGGTGGTATGAGTTCTTGCCCAGGGCTCTAGGGAGGACTCAGTGAGGAAAAAAATGTAGTCTCCTATTTATACTCCAAATTCTGCCTAAGGACCAGCAGCATTTGGCTCCATAGCTAGGTTGTCCCTCTAGCCCTGTCAGTGCAGCTGGAGGGTGACAGAGTGGTAACACCAATGTTACGAGAAGCACTCGCAGGGTCCATGCTGAGTCCTTCCTACAGTGAGGGTTCTTTTACAAACCAACGCCTTAGCCCTTGGTTTCTGTATTCACACATCTGGCTTTTTATTTATTCCAGAGAGTTACTGAGCCACACACCTGGGTGTCAGAAGGTCAGCTAGTGGCTTCCAACCAGGACTGTGACTCTGGGCAGCTCTGCTCACCTCCAGCCTGGCTGATCACTGTCTCCACCACGGGTTTCATTTTATCAATGAACTCCCCCAACATATTGAGAATATTTATCAGGCGTCAGACCCTNGGTCCATGCTGAGTCCTTCCTACAGTGAGGGTTCTTTTACAAACCAACGCCTTAGCCCTTGATTTCTGTATTCACACATCTGGCTTTTTATTTATTCCAGAGAGTTACTGAGCCACACACCTGGGTGTCAGAAGGTCAGCTAGTGGTTTCCAACCAGGACTGTGACTCTGGGCAGCTCTGCTCACCTCCAGCCTGGCTGATCACTGTCTCCACCACGGGTTTCATTTTATCAATGAACTCCCCCAACATATTGAGAATATTTATCAGGCGTCAGACCCTATGCTAATTCATTTATTATCCTATTTATTCCTCCTAATGTCATCAGGAATTGACATGACATCGATCACCTTGGACTGTTCTCAGTTGTCGACAGTGGCGGTGTGACAAACTTTTCTCCTTATCCGTGCAATAGCACACAAAGATATACAAGGCGTGAACAGGTTCTTTGCCCTTGAAACTCTGTTCATATAGAAATGCAAAGAATAATCTCAGACTTCCTTCTGGGTACATGAAAAAGAGAAACCATCACTAGAAACCAGACGTCGTGAATGAAACTCAAAAAACAACCCCAGTTCTAAGGAATGCAGCTCATGCCCACAGGGCCCTGGCTTTCCCTGGGAGCCCCAGTGGGAATTCCAATGCCCCCATTTCCTCTGAATGCTTTTGTGCTTCTCCCCTGGAAAGGGGAATGAGGGTTCAGTATCTGAGGCTAATTTCAAGATCTGTGGTGAGGTGTCGTTGCCACCCCTCACTCCCCACCTCACACACACATTGTCAGCATCTCTCCAGCTGCTGTTCCTGGGAGCCCCAGCAGATGTCACTGTGACCCCGACTATCCTCACAGGTCCCGGTCCCGGGTCTGTGGGCACAGTACGTTTGAGGCCTGGGTGGCTCCCAGGGACCCGAGGCAGGACCTCGCCTTTGAGGACTTCCACAGGGAGAGCCCTGTCCCAGAGAGAAGGGTCCTGTCTCCCCTTCACCATTTTAGGGAAGGGCTATGGTTCAGGGAAGGTGGTTCAACTTCATGGTCAAGGGGTTGGGCAGGGGTGCAGAGGGTGGAGTGAAGGGGGCATGGGGGCCTAGGACCTCCTCCCTTCCTTCCGACCCAGCTGGTTCTCTTCTCCCGTTGCATTAGGAGAGATA